CATGACCACAGAAGGAGGTTGGATGCAGTCACTGGCCGAGAACGCCAGCTGAAGAAGTCTCGATCTACTACAGGCAGGAGAAGCTAATGAGCTGGTCCGACCAAACAGGACACTGACAGGATGTTCACGGGCCAGAATGGGACTTCTATGGCCTTGGTATCAGAACCAAGGTCATCTCCCTCTTTTGTAAAGCATGACAGTTTATAGAGCATTTCCACATTCACAACATCATTCAACTCTCCGTCTCTACCGTGATTTGCTACCAGTCACACACCCGATGAGTGGCGAGGTAGCCTTGGAGGTCAGGTCTCCTGACAGCGTGTTGATGTTCTCCCAAAGGCTGGCCCAAAACTGGCCAGGGCTACCTGAAACAAGAGAGGGGGTTCTAGCCAGCCACAGGAGAGAGGAGGAGCCAAGTAGAAGGGATGAGGGGCCCAGTCTGAAATTACCTCAGGCCACCACCTGGGGTGACACTAATCAGAGATTCAGAAACATCAAAATTCAGAATGTTAAGGGCAGCCATCACAGTAGCATTGTCTTTTAATGGTTTTTTTTTTTTTTTTAAAGATTTTATTTATTTATTTAACAGAGAGAGAGAGATCACAAGTAGGCGGCAGGGGCGGGGAGCGGGGGCAGGCTGCGGAGCAAAGAGCCCGATGTGGGGCTCAATCCCAGGACCCTGAGATCATGATCTGAGCGGAAGGCAGAGGCCCAATCCACTGAGCCACCCAGGCGCCCCCTGATTGTTATTTTAAATACACGGCTCACTTGATCCTTATCCTAAACCTCTGATGTAGTATTAGCTCCATTTTACATATGAGGAAGCGCAGGGTCAGGGAGGGTAAGCGACTGGCCTGTGCTGGTCTCCTGGGTAAGAAGAAGCAGAGATAGGACCCCTGCCTCCAGCAGCCTGCAGGTCCACATCCATATACCTTCCTCCATGCCAAGCAGCTTCCTTAAAGCACTTCCTTCCATGTGATTCCGCGCATCCCATGACTCCCCTCCTTCCATACTTGTCCCGTGGCATCCTCCATCACTTCTTGGTTAACCTGCCTGCGGGACTCTCAAGGGACAATGTGCACAGAGAACAGTAAGGGATGCAGGTAGCAGGAGTAGCCAGAAAAGCCAGGGATGGGACCCGCTGGGGCCCTGGACATCTTCGCTAGGACAGCCCTGGCAGCGTCCCCTCTGAGCATGAGAACCCAGAAGGGCCAAACCTGAGAAGCTCAAGAACAGGACCATACACACCCAAGAGTACCGGCAGCTGAGACAGCCCTGGACCAGGAGACACGAGGCTCTGCCGGCAGCCAGCTGACCACCCTGGGAAGATCAGTCTAGCTTCAGAGCCCCCACATCCCACCAAAAGGAGACACATGCCACCTGTCCCTTCTTACCCAAGCAGGGTGTGGCGGGGTGAAAAGAAGAAGAGGACCATGTTCTTCTCAAAGCAACCCACAGATATAAGGCAACCACTACACTTGAGGCATTGCCCACTCTCGCCAACTTCTAGAACCACTGTTCACACAGAGTTTCTGAGAAGGCTCTTCTAGAACCAGATTCATGATCCAATGAATTCATGATCCGATGTGATCACGTGCAGCCTGCGTGGAACAGACTTACATCATTTAGTCATGAAGCCCTTGCAGCAGACGGCACGGATTCCGTGCTGGGCCCCCAGCTGGCCTGGCTTCTCCAGCACGACACTGATGGCCTGGTGACCCCGCCACGGCTCAGAGTCACTGTACTTTGTGGCTGGGAAATTCCAAACTGCAGAGCTTTCATATTCAAAGCGTACACATCATTGCAATGATTCTCACTCTGAAAAGGGTTGCAGCTACCTTAAAAAGAAAGCCACCTGGAAACATGCCTGGGGTTAAGAAAATGCTGCTTCTGACAAGCCCACAGTAAAAACAACCGGATAGAAATCATACCTACAAAGGCAGCTCTGCGTCCACAGTGCAGCTATTATAAATAACACTGCAGTAAGCAGAGGGGTGCACATAGCCTTTTGGCTTTGTGTTTTAGCATCCTTCAGGTAAATACCCAGCCATGTGATTACTGTTTTTAACTTTTTGAGGAACTTCCACGATGTTTTCCACAGTGGCTGCACCAGCTTGCATTCCCGCCAGCAGTACATGAGGGTTCCTCCAAGTGTCCACCAACTGATAAATGGATAAAGAGGTTGTGGTGTGTATATACAGAGGAATATTACTCAGCCATCAAAAAGAATGAAATCTTGCCATTTGCAATCACATGGATAGAGGTAGAGAGTATAATGCTAAGCGAAATACGTCCACCAAAGACAAATACTGTATGATTTCACTAGTGTGGAATTTAAAAAAAAAAAATGGACAAAGGAAAAGAGACAAAGCAAGAAACAGACTCTTAACTATAGACAACAAATTAATGGATACCAGAGGGGAGGTGGCTGGGGGATGGGTAAAATAGGTCATGGGGAAAAAGGAGTGCACTTGTGATGAGCGCCAGGTGACGTATGGAAGTGCTGAATCACTATCTAACACTGTACGTTAACTACACTGGAATTTAAAAAAAAAAAAAAAAAAAAAAGGCATTTCTGCAACTGAGGGCAAGGGCAAGGCTGTAACTTGGACGGAGATTCATGCCATCCCGGCCCTGAAGACCAGTCTCCCTGGTTTCAACCACCACAGGCATACTTTATTTGACCTATATGAAATTGCCTCCCACTCCCAACCAGGGTTTTCAAAAATGTTTAATGAGTTGCCAATTTATTCCACATTAAACAGAGGCTTTTCCACTGGCTCTTGAAAACTTCGTTGAGAGCCCCACAGCCCTGCACAGCAACTCTGCCTGGCACCACTAGAGGGCGGGCCTCTCCTCCAGGCACAGGCTTGCCACAGACAACTCTGGCACTTGAGCTTCTCCTGCTTTCTGGACTGGCTTCTATGAGCAGCTGATTACATCTGATCTAAATTACAGCCTAATTTAGATATGGACAAACGCTGGTGCTGAATGACCACAAGCCAGGGATTGGAGGTCTGGCGATGGCCCGTGGGCTCCCCCAAACGTCAAGAGCGGAGAGTGGGAAGCCAAAGACTCAGGATAGAAACACAGTCTGCAACCGCTTGTCAGACTTTACCGGGGCCCCCTGTGCCACTCAGCTGATCAAAAGGCCTTCTCTCTGGAGACAGGAGCTCGCATGCCTTTGTTATCTTTCCATAATGCTGAAGACAGAAAAACAAACGATAAAACCACCTTAATCTTTTCTTCAGGGTTCTGAGGAGATGACCATAAATGGGTCTGATTCTTAAATCCCACACCAGGACTGATAAAAGATGCAGTAGGCATGAGTTCTCTAAGGACAGGGCCAGTCTGGGGGGAAATCATGGAGCTCTTCACCCTCTCGGAACCCCACGTGGGACAGGGCATCAGACATTTTCATCCTGGTGTGGCATTTCAGTTGGTGAGTTTCTTCCTTTAGGGGCATTGCACTGCAAGGTGTGAGACTATTTCCAGGTAAAAATGGTTCCACCATCAGGAGAAAGACAAGGAGGGCCCCTGCAAAGGACCATGAGCACAGCCGTCCGTTCCTTATCACAGTAGCCCTGCTGCAAATTAATCTTTAATGCCAAATGAATGAACGTGTCAATGAGTCTGGTGCTGAAAATTCCCACCGATAAACATTTCTCAGAGTGGAGGCATATTTCCATCCCCTGTAAAATGCAATAACCTGACTGACATCTTAATTAATCATACTTACTGCTAAGATTCAGGTTCTGACAGAATGGAACATAAGCTAGCAAGTTTGGTGGAGGAAAAGGATGGAAAAGTCTGGGATCCCAGGCCAGAGGGAGATCACAGTGAGGAGGGGAGGGTGAGGCATCGCAATCATGAGACTAAGAACACAGAGTAGTAAACCGTACCGTTCCCCCCTCAGCTAGCTCTGCTTCCAACTCGGGCTGAAAGCCGTGGGTAGGTATCCATCCTCCCTCGCTTTCACCGAGATATTAGAGAATAAGCCTCTGGCCAGCTGTGACGACAAATAATGAAGATCCTGGTGAGTTATTAAAGGACCAGCTCTGATCTCAATTTCAGTTGGGGGGTGGGGTGGCAACTTAAAGCAGCCACTTCCATAGCTCTCCTAAATGCAATATCAAGTCCCATTTCGTTTTAATCTTCCCCAGGAACACACGTAATACATCACCCCAGGAAGGACTAACGTACATTTTTCTAAAAGTGAAATGAATGGTCTAAGAATTTAGGCCTGGCATAAGATGGTGCATGAAGTCAAACACAAATCAAATCACATCCTAAAAGAAGAGCCCATATTTTTGCATTTAAATCGCTATGTAACTTATATACAGAGAATCGTCGTAACAGCAGCATCTCCATTTTTTGGTAAGTCAGCTGCCTTCTATGAAGATAACCTGATAGGAGACATTAAATCCCTTCCCCACCCCCCGCCAGCATTCCTAAGAGGGAACAAAAGGAATCAGAGTGCAAGTAATAGCTCTCACCCAAAGAACAAAGCAATCAAAGACACATTTTAATATGAAATTGTGCCCTCCAGTTTGTGCATCCAAATGCCAGTTCTGCCCCCCAAAACCAATGTGAATGGATTTATGCAAGGTGCAAAAGAGAAAAATTACTATTATTACAATAATCATGGACTAGACAAAGAACAACAGATGTAAACAGCACAAACTGGATCACTCTGCTATATAAAAACATCCCATTTCTTTTCACATAGAAAACATCTTGCTTTAAAAATAGTCAAAATGCCTAAGGAGAGAGACACAGAACCCAGAACCTAGTACCACCTCAACTACGTGAAGTTTTTTCCTCTTGCCCAGGGCTTCACTCTGCCAAGTCATTCACACTCTTCAGTGAGTCCTTCTGGCCTCCTACAATGCTGTTTATTTTCTCTCCACCTGCCCAACTTGCTCCAGTAAATCCTTTGTGAGAGGTAACATGGGAGGCTAGTACCCGCAGGAAAAGCTGTTCCGGAGAAAGGGCCTTACCACTTCTGGCAGCAGCCTAGTTGAGAGGTCATGGATGGCTTTGACCACTATACATATGGATGACAGAAGGAATATCACCCCCAAGATGACACAGGCTCTGCAAAGAAACAAAACATTGAGAATCTTAACTGGGAGAAGTCTGCTCCACTTGTTTACACAATAATGCAACCCAAAGTACTGGTACCCAACCGTAATTTGCCACATGCCCACCATGACCAATCTCCCCCCCCACCCCATCTCAGAAGTGATACTGAATCATCTCTAGGATCCCGGCCAATTTATCAGCAAAACCAACCCCAAGGGAAAAGGGCTCACCATCCTACATGATCTCAGAGCATCCCATGAATGCTGGCATGGGAGAATTTCAAGGACAGTAAATCCATCCCTTCGGCCTGGCAACACAATATGCCCGTTCACCTCCAGCTGGAGGGTTCAGAGTTTAATAGCCAAGAGTGAAGGCTCTGGCCTGAGACATCCCAAGCTCTATCATTTAATATGCTTGATCTTGGTCAAGCTACTGAATTTCTTTTAGCTTCACCTGTCAAATGGAAATAATATTTCCCACCTAAAGATGAAAATGAGCATCCAAATAAATAAATAAGTAAGTAACCCATTGATGTGGGCCTAAACAAAGCAAAAGTCCATTCTGGATGTCTCTTCCCGATATGACGTGATAGACACCACTGTATTTTCCCAAAGACTGGAAGGAAGAATGATTTGGTAACAACAAAAGGTAGAGTGTTTATGCCAAGAGGAAGCAATTCTTTAAAAAGAAAGGAGAGGAGGGAAGGAAGAATGAGTTCAACCGAGATACCAGCACAGGAGGCGGCAGGAGGAGAAGGAGGGGGTGTGGGGCAGGGGTTGGTAGGACATCTCGGGGAGCTCAGGATGTAGGAGCTTTCTCTGGCAAACCAGACACAACAATGTGCAGGAGAAGCAAAGATGAAAAATGAAAATAAATATGAGGAAATTATGGTAGTAATACAGGAGTCAAAACACCAAATGAAAACCAAAATAGAGAAAAAATGAACGACTACCATTAGCTCTAGGTCATTCCTATCCCAACCTGATGTCCCCATCACTTGGCAGCCTCCTGAGCCCTTTTTTCTCTCACTTATCAAATCATTTTTCATTGTCCATCTTGGATTCCCTTCTCTGGGTAACAGAACAACCCAAAATTGCCCACATAACTTTGAAGTAACACCTACTTAATTAGAATCCTAATGAGCCCATGGACAGACATGCTCCCCCAAACCTCGAAGTCAGAAATAAGCAGGTAAATAAGGCTGCTTGGAGCCCAGTCACTAGGCTTCTAATGCATGCTCTAATTGTAGGTTTTAGTCTTTCAAAAACAGACAGAAAGAAAGGATCATCACAGATTAGTGCATAACATAAAATATAGAGATTGTAGGAAAAATAATGAATGGGCTGGGGATCTTAAGCAAGAAAGGACCCGGACTCATGCACAATAATGAGTGATCCGCCATGACTGCCGTACATCCCCAGAATGAGCCTGGGTTGGGGGACACACAGACTCAAGGAGGAGATAAGATAATTCAGGCAGTAAGTACTCACTAAGGCAGTGGCAGGAAGGAAGAACACTGACATGAGGCACTAAGCCTGGGGCTGGTAATCCCAGTCCTGGCAGAGCTATAGGGCAAAAGGGGCTGCAGCCAGGAGAGGCATCAGGGGGGAATGAGGTCCATCTACTGGAGGCCCTTTAGTGACGAGATAGTTGAGCAAAGCTGAAGAATCCCGGGGATCAGGGGATCAGTGCTCCCAAGGCACTGGCCCCCAAGACCCAGCTGTGCCCATGGGGAAGCAAGCTATGGGCCACTGTGACCAGCACTTGAAATAACCATTCCAACCTGCACACTCTGGGGAGGGGGGCCCCATTTACAGAAAAAGAGCCTCAAGTCAGGATAGGCCTCCAATGTAAGGTGAGCTTTTCTCCATTGAAAAAATTTCTGAGCATTTGCCACAGACTAATTCCCTCTTTCAGATCAAGTCAACCACCAACTCAGTGCTTCTCAACCCAGGAGCAAACTGCACTCACCCGGGGAGTTTCCTGAACAGTCGCCCAGGGACCACACCAATTCAACTGTATCAGAATCTCAGGGCTGTGAACCCAAGCATCTGCATTTGTGTCAAAGCTCCCAGGCAATTCCCAGAGGCACTGGGGTTGACAGTCCTGCACCTAGAGCCAGCTGGGGCCCTGCCCTGAGGGAGCTTCACGGTGGCCCAGGAAGCCCCAGCTCCCGGGACAGAAGGCAAGGTGGGAGTGGTCACCACAGTTGGTGAGGAAGGAAGAGATCTAATGGTCCCTACGAGATGTGCAGTGTATTTTTTTACCAAGCAGTTTTCTCTGAGACACAGGTAGGGCAGCCACCACTTGGGTGCTAGACCTTCTACAGACAATTTATACAACATCCTCTGGGAGCCTTCATCTCCATACTTCCCTGGGGCCGGGGAAAGAAATAAAGCCAACAGGGATGCTGCAGGAACCCATTTTTTCCAGATGACTGTAGAAACACCACTATAATGCACCAAGAGCGGATCTGAATTTTGTTTACATTTCTTAAGGAGACAAACAAAAAAGATGCAATGGTCTCCTTCCATACTATCTTGCTCATATATCTTGAAGGAAAATTACACTACAAATCCCTTAAGGTCAAGAACCCTATTTTTCCATCTCAGTATCTACAGGAGCACAGAGCAGATGCCCCATATGCATCTGGAGAACAGATGTATTTGCTAACTGCTTCGGTAATTACTAGATAATTTCTAAGTGTTCCCCCCATGGAGTTTAAGGGGGCATCAGCCACTTACCAATACAAGGGGAAAGACACTCCTAATACTTTAGCCAAAATGCCTATTGAATAGCCCACCTTATAAAACCACTCCAAAATGTAACGAAAATCGAAAGAAATTGATGCTTTGGTTTATTAAAGTTGAATTTTACAAAAGTATAATCATATTTTCTTCAGAAACATACCTGTGAATATGTTCAAAAATGTTGTAAAGCCCTGTTTTCATCTTCTTTTAAAAATGTGCTGCAAATTCAAACACCATAGTCACCCTTCCTTCACCACTGCTGGGAGCTTGCATGTCAAAGCTGCTCCCCCAGCCTAAACCGGCTATTATTAGCAGAGGGTGTGATGCTATTTTTTAACATTTTATTAATAATATATTGTGTTTACACAGCAGCTTTGTCCTCAGGCACTCAGAGATCTGCACAGTCGTGCATAAATGCCCTGGAGGCCACTCACCGGATCGCAGTTCCTGTTTTTCTGCTGTTTTACAAGCTGGGAAGGAAAGAGGTGTGTTCCATAAACACAAATGGTCATAATGGGGACGTCAAGGATTAGGAGGCTTGTCCAAGGTCACCCAAGGAGTTTGAGGTCCACTTAGAAACACAACCCGATCTCTTGACTCCCTCCCAGCAGCCAGCCCCAGTCAACCACCTGGCCATTCGAAGACTCTTGGCACCCACATTGCACCCTCACACGGCCACCACCCTGGGACCGTGGTGGCCTCCAGGAGGCAGGCAAGATTTGGGTCAGAAGCCAACACTACAAATACTGCTTCTTTATGTCACAGTGTGCTGCTTCCTAGTTTAGGAGGGAGCAGAAGGGGGAGCAATGGAGGATCGCTGCCGCATCAGCATGTCACGTGGACCTCACCAGGAGAGGCTGACGTGGCCAGGAAAGGGCAATGTGTCCATGGGCCTGACAGCACCGAGCAGCCAGGTCACTGGAATGAACGCAAATTCCTTCTCTCTCCTGCCCAAACCCCAGCGGAGAAAAACACTGAGTCAGAAAGAGACAAATGCAATGCCTCTAGCAACATAATCCCCCAAATGAACACCAAGTGAAGTTGAATTGGAACTCCCACAGGACCACCAGCTGTCCAAGAGTGGTCCACAGAACAGCAGCATCAGCATCACCTGGGAACTTGTTAGAACAGCCAATTTTTGAGTCCACCCCAGATCTACTGAATCAGAAACTCTGGGGATGGGGCCCAGTAATCTGTATTTTAATAAGTCCTTCCTGTGTTTCTGATGCACAGTCAAGACAGAGTCTAGAACAGTCTTCCCCAAGACACATTTAATATCTGAAAGACGACTAGTAAAATCCTGAGAAATGACTAAAGCCACTGGTCATCTCTTTTTCTTCTGCTAAAGGCCACAGATTACTAATTGTGCACACCATTGCAATTCTATGAATAACCTTGTAGTAAGCATTAATATTTTTTGTCAATGAAATTATAAGGGTAAAACCCACTGACAGATACTCTCACAACAAAAATGATGTCAGGTTGAAAATTTGGTCCCTTGTCAATTATAGGTTTGGAGGTCTGTGATTCCCATTAATAAAGCCTGAGTCCTATACCAGTTCTAAATTATTTTCTATCAGATCCAAATAGCCAAACAGGAGAAGTTTTGTCTAGTCATCCCCTAATGTACAAAAGACCTAAAACACAGCAGCCCTGGAAATTAATCAGTTCAGTCCACAGCTTAAAGTGTCAATGTTTTATTTATCATCTTTCATCCTGGTACCCAAAGCACTTGTAATCTGGGCCATTGTTCAAATGTGAAGTAATGAAAAATAAAAGACAGGTGATGAGCACAAACATAGTACTTAGGGATGCACAGTCTCTGGTGTTATTTTATCCTAGCTAGATTCTCTCTCCCTTCATGTGCTCTGCCATTTTAAATAAAGCCAAAAAGTCCATTTGAAGGCGGGAAAAAGGGAAGGAGAAAGTGAGGAATGAGCCACGTCTCATTCTCTATAATGCCTACACCAAACACTAATTCAAGACCACCATCTTCCCCCTTCCCTTTATTCTCCTAAGCTCTAGACCCCACCTCCTTTCACACCCACATTCCCATCTCTTCTCTACCTTCATCCTCATCCATCTGCTACACAGTGGACAGGCTGTGGTGTGAATGGTTCCTCAGACCAGAGGTCTCCAGGAAAGCGGTCCATACACTCTCCATGGTAAGATCGTCCCTCTCCTCAATGTGTAACCACCAACTCACATGTAACCACCTTCCTCAACAAATGGCCCTTTGTTTATATCTGTATGAATGTACAA